TTTACTCCCTTCCCCCTCCTCTAGAGCAGATGCAGACTTAAGGCTGATTTACACGGCACGATTGTCTTGTGCGACTTGTAGTATACGACTTGAATCGCGCAGTGTAAATGCCCCTACGACTTGTCTACAACAGTCGTACGCAACCTACGACTTGTAGTAGGGTTTTGAACCACTGCTTAAAATCCTACGACTTGTAGTAGGAAAATCGTATACTACAAGTCGCGCGCGACAAATCGTACTGTGTAAATCAGCCTTTATAGGTTCACTGACCTTGTGTCTCTTGATCCCATTCAAACTCACCATCCTGGAAAATATGTTTGAAAACTTAAAGCCAAATGATGATATAAAATGTTTCGGTTATCACCAAATTACGGACTATTTTTAAATCCGGCATAGAAAAATGATCGATCACACGATCACGTACCCCCTCCCCACGTACGGTGCTTTGACACTGCATGAAGGAATCTATATCACAAACGGCGCTGGAAAACCGCCAGTAAAAATCCCTAAAAACGATACCCTGTTCCAGAGTAAAATCGCTGAAAACGATACAATTATCTTTAATTAACGCATTATAGAGTTTTGTTTATAATCAAACGGTTGAGCGTGCAGATTATCCCGGAGTAGTCAATCGATAAAAATCGATAAAAAATCAGCTGATTTATATCGATTTCTATCTGCAATCGTTAAAAATCAATTTTATTTTTTAGTGTGAGTTCGATTTTTATCGATTTTTGTTTAGATTTKATCGATTTTTATCTWTAGTGCGTTTGTTATTGAGAGTGAAGGAAATCAATTTTAATTTTGATCAAGTAATAAGTCGTAATAAGTACAATTATAGAATCTTTATTTCAAACAAATATGAATGATAATTATTTCGACATTTTCTATGGCTGAGTACAGCATAGCTCTAAAATCAGAAAGACAGTTTTAGATTCGCGTTTACTGCAACCTCCACAGCTACGTCAAATTTATATCTTTTATGATTTGACTAAAATTGAAAACTTACGTAAAAAGTGATCTTTTTATAGGGTGTATAAAAAAACTGTTGAATGACCGTTTTATAATTTCGGCTACCAAAACCTACCTTTTTTTAACTTGAGCACTGTCAATGGCAATCGATAAAAATCGATATTATTTTTTTGTGTGAGTTCGATTTTCATCGATTTTTAGATACAATCGATATCAATCAGATCTCTTCGCTTGATTTTTATCGATTTATCGATTGGGGTAAATTTAATCGATTTTTATCGATTGACTACTCCGGGAGATTATGCATAGACGAATTGTACGACCCGAAAAAGCCAAGAAAATGTATGTGTTATTGGCTTCAATGGGTCTATAAATATTAAACATGTATAATTCCAGTGTTAATCGACACGAAAAAGAATAAAATAAAATAAATAATTATAGTCCAGTACAGAAACTTTTACACTTAGTACTGTGACATTTGGCTGACATTTTACCTTTGAATTAAGGTTAAATCCACATATATTTATCTGTACCGACCTTGTTGTGTGTTTTGGTATTCCCATCGCCTTCACATTCTGGTTTATTCAAATCAGCGTTAGCATTAGCAAACGTCGAGTTTACCATTGCAACAAGAGCAATACTGAGATTCACTCGAAGAGAGTACGTCACGCTCATTCCCCAGAAACTCAGAATAGCCAGAACATATCGACATGGAACAAAACATTTTGATGTTGATGTCTTTGACCGATGAGGTTGTATGATCAGTGGTTGTTTCTCGTCCATTGATGCTCGTCCAGGCGAGTGTTATAATGAATAAACCATGATCAATGATGCAGATCGTGTCCAGGTCTGGATTAGGACGGCTTACAAACACATAGATTACGTTACACCTATTTGGTCACACAAGAGTCAACAATTAGTGTCACACTATAAACCACTGACCGCGCAGACAGCTACGAACAGAAGAAACCTTTTATAAAAGAATTTCACAGTCGTGGACTGCATGTGGCTAGTGCTAGCAAGCAAAAAGGAAATGAATAGCTATTTTTTAATTTCATTTTTTTTCGACCCTTAAGAGCCGCTTCGCGCAAAAACCAGACAAAACTGAAATTTTTTGGCAAGGCTCGAAAAATAAAATCTGTTCATATTTTGTATATTGGTAAGGTATGATTAGGTAACAATCGCTGTGTAATTGGTTTTTGAAAATATTTCATTTTTCGCAAGTAAATCGCGAATTCATGTCACATACTGGGCCTTTGCGTGACAGATGCTTGATTGCTAAAATAGCTCTCAAAATAATACAGCTGTTCGACAAGTTTGTATAGTCACAAGCACGGCACTTTGAGATTTTTCGACTGTGCCTGACGTTTAGTCCCAGAACTAAATGTCAGGCAGTAAAGTTTTTTTTTAAAAAATACAGACATACCAGAGTTGTGTAAGTGAAATTTTCTAACCCTCCCTGCATCGACCGTCCCCCTTCAACCATTACCACAACAATTTATCATTGTCCCAGCAACCTATAATTAGACCATTGTTTCTTCATTTTGAAGGGATAATGATTAGGATCTTTATTTGGTTCAATAGCCACAACACAACAAAGACAAACAAAGAATATCAAATGTATAAAGTGAACAATAGATGCATTAAATGTCATAATGAACTGCATATCAAATATCCTAATCCTTATCCCTTCAAAATGAAGAAAGAATGGTCCAATTAAAGGCCCTACACCATTCACTAGATGCTTGAAATTACGGTTTGTTCCGACAATTTCTCGAAAAAAACATCGATTGCCTGACGTTTAGTCCTGGGACTAAACGTCAGACACTCCGTAAGGTTAAAAAGAGCTATAGACCCCTTGCATGTGACGTCAAAGCAGCTTTATCTGGAGGACAAAACAAAAGATTTTTAACCTCTTGGGAACTAGAATCCATTGTTTTGTCCTCCAGTTGGAGCTGCATTCCCATGAACTGCAAGGGGTCTATTGCTTTGGTTAGAATTTCAGAGAACAATGCGTCCGTCATCATGAAAAGTGAGCCCCAAATCACTGTTTTGCTTTAGAAAAAAATTCGTAGTTGCTCAGTCAACTAATCTATCATTATATCGTATGTTATATTAACTTGACATTAGCTTAGAACCTTTTATTTTCTTTAGGAGTTATAATTTAGTGATTCGAGTCCCACTTTTCAAGATGGCGGACGCATTGTTCTCCGAAACTCCTGATGCATGTATAGATATAGAAATGGAAAAAGTTATAGTGCTTAGAAGGAGGCAATTTTTTACATTATTGCTTTGGTTTTGTATTGTTGTAAAAATTGTCTATTTATCTTCGTGACAATATTATTAAGCTATAGTTATCATGTTTATTTATTTATTTTTTGCTGGTAGGGCAACGAGAAACCGAAAAATACTTAGATGTCACTAAAGTTATTACGAGAGTTTCGGCGAGATGTTTCGCCGAAAAGCAGGAAAAATCTATTATGTAAAAACTGCAAGCCGAGATGAAGGGCGAAGACAAGGTTTTTTTCAGGGGGCTGCTACCTTTGAAAGCGTTCTATCCACTGGTACCTGGAGTTTTGGACAAAATTCAAACAGGTTTTGATCATGAGTTGTGCCATAAAACACCAGAAACACCATGAGTTGCACCATATGTACCATGAAAGGTGTTCTTCACGATATAAGGAATTTGTCGACAAAATTATTTTAAGGGATCACGAAAAACTCGCCGTTAAGTTAAGGCTTAGAAATCTCTAAATGTAATAGACAAAAAGATTTAAAGATATGATGATTTTTGTGTCGTTTTACTATTATCGTGAGATATTTGAGAAAAGCAGTGTAATTCTTTTACACAATCTACGATATGAAAGCCATATAAATAAACGATCTGTACGGGAAAATATCAGACCTCGGTCTTTACGGACTTGACTGCACTCGGTTCGTACTGTCAAGACCTCCATCAGATATTCTCCACTCCAGACCTCGCGCTCGGTTAACAGCCTCTTAAATGGACGAAATCACCCTGTAAAGCATGGAATTGAATACTACAGACAAAAGAAACTGTGATTTTTCCAAAGAAAATACACTTTACTAATAACAAGGTAAAATGCACAATCGTAATAAAATCGATCCTTCACATTTATTTATAATTTTCTCCGGTCCAGCTTGAATTGGCTTCTTTTTGATTGAATCTTTTATGCAGAAATCTCATTGCCAGGGCTGAGCAGAAACCTAAAAAAATAAAAAGGACATATGTTTTCCCTTTTAAATTAGACTTGCTGCAAGTTTTTCGACTCTAGAGCAATCACGAAATTTTCTCAAACGAATGTTATTCCGAAGAGTTGCCGAATTGAATTTTTGAAACTCAGTTTTTTACATTTTTTCACGAAATACAAGCCGCTTTCTTTCTCTAGTTTGAAGAAACACGATAACTAGTACTAATTGACTTGCAAAACGTTTTTTTTTGTCTACCCTGAGTACCAGTGGCTGGATTTAATGCACTAGTCAAACCCACGCACACCGACCCCCGGGAAATACCGTTTGAGTGGTGTTAAAATAAGACATTTACCCCGGTAGTCGGGACACATTCATTGTTAAAATCCCCGCTACTGATGCCCCGCTATTTTAGTCTAGTAGTAAATAACAAAACAAACACCTTTCAATCAAATTTGTTGAAGCCGTTTAAAACACTCCAGATGGTGTTTTGAACGATACATAAAGTATCAAAATAGAGAAAAATTCATGATTCGTTTTCTGGTACTTACCTTTAATTGGTACTTGTCAGGTGTACTTCAAGTTCGCTAAAAAAAAAAGAAAATATAATTTCATACAAATTGAACACACAATTGATCAATCAAGCAATAAACAAATGAAATCATCCAAACAATCATCCCATTAATTTATTATCATGCCCATCACCTCAGTTTCCCAACAGAAAATAAAAGGATCTGTAGGTTGGAGACAATACCGGAGAACACAGGATTTGAGCCACGGCTATGTGGGCGTTGGCTGTTCACCTTTGATGCGGGATCTTAAGGCTCTATGTACCTTTTTATTGTGACAGGATTGACTTTTTATCAGAACTGACAAATTTAATTACTTAGCAATTAAAAGCGGATGTCAGTAAAAATCAAACATAACGTGCCAACTCTTGAAAAATCGATTTCGCTCATACTCTGAACTTAGGTACCCTATTATATAAGATAAACAACCATGTATTTGGTTTTTGAAAATAACGTTTCATTTATGAGTAAATTGAAGTTTCGTGGAACGATGTAAATATGCTAATTTTCGAGCTATGAAATGGCGATAAACTGATGGCCTCGTTTGGTTAATGCA